CACTAAGGCAAATGCCTTTCTGATAACTCTTAAGGGAGATCTGCTGAACACAGAGTCCAGCCTTTTGAGTCAAGCAGTTTAAGTTCCTAAGTGTAGAGATAAAATAAGTAAGTAAGTGACACCGGGGATTTTTATAGTGGTTCAAGGAACAACTTGTTCCTCTAGTCCACTGTTCCACTAAGCTTGCAAAAACAACAGTTTACAACGCCTTAGTCCCTAGAACTTAAGAAGCACTCCTCGTCTTCTTCAAGTCTAGTTGCCACCCGGGATGCAGTCCTGCTTTCTGATGGCTGGTCTCGTTTCACTGAGTCTCTTGAAGTATCCCCACTTCACTTACTCAAGCTAATTTGAGATGTCCCTTCTTTTTCAAGAAGTGTTTGATTCAAAATCAGTTTTCTCCAACGTTGCTTCTTCACAAAGGATGAGTAGATGAAGTTTTCGAAGTGTTGAAGAACTGAGGAACTTTGCAACTTGCTAGTTGGATGAGGGATTAGAAAATATATCTTCCAACTGTAGCCTTTTCTTGTTAAGAATGAAGTTTGAATCTCAAGAAGGCTTTGAGGTATTTGATTTTGAGTAGAATGATCTGAGCAAGTTCGTCTGGAAGATGTTGTAGCAAAAGTTCTTCTCGTAGTTCTTCAGAGTGTATCTTATATACTGGGAGCAGTCTTCCCGTTGGAGTGTAGAAGACAGCTTCATTAAATGCTTGTACTGTTGACTTGACCGGTTGGACCTTCGACTTGCTATTTTGGGGGCGTGAAGATACTCGCATGGTCAATCATCAGCTTTAAATATCTCTTCGTACGTACAACATTAAATGTGTATTTAATGTGTGTACAGTACCATGTTTCCGTTGAGAGGTTCGTAACCGTTAGGGGATTTCCCGTTAGTTTAACGACCGTTGGTAAGTGCTTTCGGAATCTGGTGTGTTTGGCAAAGTCTTATGAGGCTCTCTGGTTGAATCTTTGAAGTCCGTCTTTGTTGCCAACTCTGGAACCAACACTGATGACCAGTTCTGATGGCTTCTCTGGTGAGAAACTCTGGGAGCAACTCTGGTAGAAGCAAGGTGGATCTCTGGTATGAAGACTAAGCTAAAACTTACAGAAGAAATTCTAATACAAAATTTCTAAAGGGGTAACTTTCAAATTCTAATTAACCTAGCATCATCAAAATCTAAATACATTTATTCCTTACACATAACAACCAAACAATGTTCAAGGTCATAGTTCCTCTCTGTGCCTCAAAAATTGATAAAGCAGCAAAATCAGCACCCTGCTCCTAAGGGGTTTAACAGCCAGCTCCCAGTAACCTTGTAGTCTGACCCTAAAGGTTTCATAAGTCTGCTCCTTGAGCCAGCTGACCTTGACAAACACATTTGTATCCTGTTTATCCCATCTCTCACACAACTAAAAGGGTCATAATCTTTGTTACTATAAAGTGTTACACTCTTTTGGTCAAGACTTCCGCTGTAGGTTTCAATATCTCCCAAAAGATATTGGAACTCATTCTGTTAGAGGAAAAATGGTTGAAATTGAAAAGATTTTAAAAGTCTATTCACCTCCCCCCTCTAGACTTTTACCTCACTTGGACTCATCATTCTTTATCTTTCTTATTATTCTTTATCGTTTTATCAATTTTATATATCTTACCTTTTACCTTATTACTTTTATCTTTATCTTATTCCTGTCTTATGTTTAATTTGTTTTTTTCTATATTATCTTATCTTTTTATCTAAGGAGACTAAGAAATGAATGTTATTATTGTTATTGATGTAGGAGTGAATTACTCCTGTTTTGAAAAGAAAACAATGACACTCTTATATCAAGAAAATGTGTTATATTGTATTCTTATTTAGGATTCTTTCTCTAAATAAAATTATCAATGACCATTTAAAAGTAGAGTGCCAATTTTTCTACCAATACTGTTTATTTCATCCTTGGTGAGGAGAAAAGCTAAAAAGAATGAACACTGTCTTCTATGGCAAGAGAAAAAATATGCAGACTTTGAATGAAGAAGCATATGGAGTCTACATAGAATCCTGTATTTGCTTTAGTGCTAAAAAGAGATATTCGTCTAGACCTTTTTTTCATTTACACTCCAGTCTCCAGTTCAAACGAAATTACCACACTTGTTTAAATCTTATTAGAAAATTAGAATCCAATTAAAAATATCCTTAAAATGATTGGGCTCGTTTAAATGCTGTTCAATCAATTTTAAATTCTATTAGACTAGTTGTTGGGCTTTATTAAGAGAAAAATAACGATTTTATTTATCATATTATCATATGCCCCTTCTGATGAGTTAATGTTTAATTGTTTAAATTAATTTAGATTATTACATGTACCCAAATAGTTAAATTATGAGTTAATTTTTTAAGTGGGGCAATAATGATGTATCTGATTAATGGACATCCTTATGCCTACCTATGGGTAGAAAGTTTTTGGTCAAAAAAAACCAAAAAAAAACAAAGAGGATTTTTAGAGAAGAATTCTGAGGTGTGAAGATCGCTCAAGGATTTTATTAAAAACTTGATCCCTATTGTCCTCAACAGGTTTAAATGCTTTTTTAGTCCTTGCAAAGATAGCACACTTTGTCTTAGATCTCTGCAAATATTTTTCTTGTTTTTCATCTGTTGGACCGCGGGTATGCGGTGCCAGTAATCTGCTAGCTTGCCGATGCAATCGAATCGCGTGACGTTTCACTTGTGCTATAAAGGGGGAGGAGCGTGCTACACTATCAGCGATTGCTTTTAGTGTAGTGGTAAGCGAACGATCCACAGTTGGTATGAGAGCCAAGGTCACGGGTTCGACCCCCGGCAACAGCATGCTGCGCAGTTGAGGCTGGCAGGTGCTGGGGGAAGATTGTTGGGCCGCGGGTATGCGGTGCCCGCAATCTGCCAGTCTGCCGCCGGTGCAATCGAACCGTGTGGCGCTTCGCTTGTGCTATAAAGGGGGAGGAGCGTGCTATACTATTAACGATTGCTTTTAGTGTAGCGGTAAGCGCAATGATCCACATCATCCACGAAATATGCATTATTTTTTTAATCCATCTCTAATTCCGAAACTACTCTACTCACAAAAAATCACTATTGTCAGTTACATAAATATACTAGAAATATTTAAATTTATCTTTTTAAATTTTTTTAGGCTAATATAAGAGTTCAAATAATGTAAAACTATGTATTCACATTTTAAAAAATATATATTAAAAACCTTCTAAAAAATAAAATTAAATACTTTTTGAATAACATGACAAGGAATTAGATGAAATCTATTAATCGGGGTTATTTTGAGGTCAAACGGAGGTTGTTATCATCAGTGATGGACTAAACAGAAAACCAACATAAATTATAGGGACGAAAAGAAAAAAAATGTAGGAATGTTAAATAAAATGTATTATATTTGTATGGATTAAAAACATATTTAAACCTTCTTAATATAAGGTTCTTCCTTTCAAAATGAGTCAACAGATTTTTTATAAGTTTTTATGTTTTTCTCCTAATAAAAATATTCGTTTTCAAGGCATATATATCAAAAGATTGGATAAATGATTGCCAATATTATTTTAATAAAATAATAAAGAATACTAACTACTTTTTTGTTGTCTAATTTGACCAGAGGCCGGGGTAATAAATTTGAACGAAAAAGTTGACTACAGAAACTTTTAAAATAATAATATGAATAACAAATAAATTTATGAACGTCCATTCTAACATATATTCTCGACTTGAATGTCTACTTTCTAAATGAAATCAGAGTACTCTTTTCCTACCAATACTGATTTTTAAATTCTTGGAGAGGAGAAAAGCTCAAGAAAATGAAAACTTTATCTTGTTTGGCGGGAAAAAGAAAACAGAATTACATTGAAATAATAAACCCATGGAGTCTATTCGGAAGACTTTATTTCCTTTAGGGTGTGTTTGAGAGTTTGAGGGTGAGGGAAGGCTCTGAAGGGGAGTAAAGAGAAGGGAAAGAGAGGGAGATGAGAAGGGGTTCCCTCCTCTTGTTTGGGAGTTGCAAATTTCAAAAGTGGAGGGTTTGAGGACTTGAGGGGTTTCAACGGCGGAGAAATGAAGCGAGTAGCAGCTCGTAAAGATTTTATGCGGAAGCGGTTTTAATTTTAGAGGATAAATCTCTCATTTGCGTAACTAGATCTTATAAAACGCTCAAATCGGAAGAGTTAGAAAACCCAGGTTTTGGAGGGTTTAAAAGGATCTTATAACACCCCCAAAACCTTTCCCTCATATTATTTAAACACTAAAACACAAATAGGAGGGGTTTTTTCCGTCATATGACTTCCCATCCCCTCTAAAAACCAACTCCCAAAAACACCCTTAGTTCGAAAAAGGGACATCTCTATCTTGATTTTTTAATTATAATCTTTTCTATGTTATTTTCTCAATTATTTTCATGTACTCCATTCCAAATTAACTTCACTTTTGATTTTTACATCTCATTCCGTCCGTTAAAACATTGCCATCTTTCCTTTTTGGAACATCCCAAAAAACTTTGTCACTTTCCCTTTTAATCAATTATTTTGTGGTGTCGGTTATTTTTCTCTCCTCTGCACAAACCTCAACCACACAGTTTTTACTTTATTATTTTCCATGCCGGTCAACTTTAGCAAAGTTTTAAGGGATAGAGGTAGTAGTTTATAAAATGTGAATACCGCACAAGTAATACGAAGCACTTGTTTAGAGACGAGAAAGTATATACTCCCTCCGTCCCGAAAAGGTTGGCCAAATTTCCTTTTTTGGATGTCCCAAAAAGATTTGCCATTTTCATTTAAAGTAAGGAATATGTGGCTAAAATTAATTCTCTCTCATCTACACAAATTTCAACCACACACTTTTACTTTATTAATTCACGTGAAAGTCAATTTTGGCCAACCTTTTCGGGACGGAAGGAGTATCAAAGGCCGCATAATGCTTTTCTTAAGTGACACGCAAAGCTAATGTTAAAATGAATTATAAATACTTCTATCTAGAATATTTCTTTAATACTTCTCTCTTACAAAACGATATATTTACTCTCCCATTTCTCTCTTCTCATTTTCCCCTTGGACCAAAAAAACCAAAGTGCCTATCCTCAAGAAAATGGATAATAGAGATATGGATAACAAGCCAAGCCTTCTTAGTAATAAGGTTTTAATACTTTTAGCTGTTTGTTTTCTCTTTGTATTTGTAGGGATTTTTGCTAATCACAATAATCACAAGTCAACCAAAGATGAAATTGAGACCACGATGATTGGGCCTCTCATCCCAACGAGTAATGTGATTATTTGGAAGACGTTGAGGCGCCATCATTCTTTTCATCATCATCATACTCATAATTCTATCAAATATGTGAGCAAGAAACTTGTGCCAAGTGCGCCTAATCCCCGTCACAACTGGTATGTGTATAATTGGAAAAGATTTCATTACAATGTGGTAAATATAGTAAGTTTCGGATTAAATAAAAATCACCCTTAGTTTGAAAGTTGTAAATCGTTTACGAATCCCTAATGTGATGGACTTAAAGCGTGGTCCGTTGCAATTTGTGAACTTTTGCCGAGTTATATCAATTGCCAAATAATAAAAGTGGTGACATTTTGGTAAATAAATAAGAGTTTTCTATCGATGCAAAAAAGGGCAACATAGAATCTTAATATGCACCATGTTGAGAAAAATGAACGGTTTGAAATTTTCACAAGAAGAGTATATGATTTTTTTACCCACACCTTTAAATAGATGTGTGTGTATATACAAACAAATTTCACTCAAGTAAGAAATGCATCTAATGTGAGAAATGAAATTGAATCCTAACAGTTGAATTTATGATGTTGCACTATATCAGTTTCATGTTGCAGATTAAATTGATCCATGTTGCAACAAAGTAGCTTCATATATATAGTTTTTTATTTAAACATCCATTATGTTAGTATTGAAGAGGAGATTATGACGCCTCTAGTACCTTTCTCAAGCACATATTGATTTTACAATCTTGATTCAATTCAAGATTTGCATCTGATTTTGCGTAAAGGCTATTCTAGAAAGGCACACAACCCATATAAAAATAGAATGTAATTAAAATCAAGCTACATTTACCAATGATTGAAAGAGGAAATATAGCAAAGACTTTAAGTTGAGATGAAAATTTGAATGAAGAGTAGTAAGTCTATAATAAGAAATTAAGAATGTTTTTAATAGGATTGTATTTTTATAATATGGTCTTGTCTAAACTGGTCTAGTATGATAGGTGTGTATGTTCTATGTGTATTTTACAACTATCAAAGTTTGACGATCTAATTTTGTATGATATGATCTATTTAGGTTTGGTCTGGTCTGAGGCAAAACTAGTCCAATCAAAAAACACCATAAATTATATATAATTAACTCACACAAAGTTAGGATGTTTTTAATTGGATTAAAATTTTTTGGTCTGATATGATCTGATTTGGTTTGATTTGTTTAAGTACGATCTGTAATGAACTGGTCTGGTCTAGTAGATGTATGGTCTATGCGTACTTTACAACTTTCGAAAAATGTAGTATGTGTTTATAATACGGAAAAATAATTAAAATACCCCGAATTTTGAAGGGTTTGAGATAAACACCCCAAACTTTCGTATACTCCCTCCGTCCCTATATAAAAGTATCCATTCGTTTTCCACACATTTTAAGAAAGTGGGTTTGGTTGGTACTGTTTGGCACTGTTTGGACACTGTTTGGCACTGTTTTGCACTGTTTTGCACTGTTTTGTTTGCCAAAAAAGGAAAGGGAACTTTTATTTAGAGACGGCCCGAAAAGGAAACAGATGCTTTTATTTAGGGACGGAGGGAGTATAATTTAAATACCCCAAACTTTATATAAAAAGTTATTGTAACACCATGGTCATGTATCATTTCAAAAATTTATGATGTTAATTGCATAATTTAAAAGAGCAAATTGAAAACATTGCAATTTTATAGAGTTTGGGGGATACTATTTATTTTACATTGAAAGTTTAGAATGCTAATTGTATCTTCATGAATGCTAAAATGTTTTAAATTAAGAAATTAACACCAGTTATTAACATTTTTGAAAAAATAATACACAATCATGGTTCTAAAATAATTTATTATATAAAGTTTAAGGTATATGCAAGTTTAGGGGTGCTTACTTCACACTCCTTTGATGTTTATAATATGTCATTCATGACTGACGTCGATGTTTAACAAAAAAGGATCCCACCACATTCTTGAGGTCCTCCAGAATCGATCGAACGGGAGTATAACTTGAGCTTCAATCAAATACTGATGGAAAGATAGTGGGATTGCTTATGAGTGGGGTTGTTTCTGTATTTGTATGGAATTAAACCCGACTATGTGGATTCTGTGGATGTTAAACAATTCTAACAAGTGACATACCAACATGACTTTTGGAAAAGCTTCAAAAAAAGGGAGCTATTGAGATTTGCTTCGCTGGGATCCAGAATTAAGTTGCACAGGCGTTCCATCATACGGAGTATGTAAATACAGAGTATTTTACTATTTTTACATGTGCATATTTATAATAATATTTCTTAATCTCTATCACCATTGTTATTGACCAATTTAAATTTAGTCAATGTCGATTTTGCCTTGTCAAGTGAAGTGTGATTAGTGATGTGTATTTTGTATCATTAAATATCTTTTGTATCACGAAAATCGGCTGATCAGGTTTATTCTGCTGAAATTTATGAAGTTCTGACAGAAGTGGCTGCATTGACTGATTCTGCTGATTTAAAAAACAATTATTTTTAAAATACATTTTATTACTCCCTCCGGTCCTTATTAAACTTTACACTTTGACTTCACACACTAAAGAAATAAATTTGAGTTTACTGTACAGTACACTGTTTGTCACTGTTTGACACTGTTTGTCACTGTTTGAGATTGTTTTGCATTGTTTGGTGTAGATTTGTTTGCCAAATAAGGCAAATAAGGAAGTGTAAAGTTTAATATGGGATTGTCCAAAAAGGAAAGTTTAAAGTTAATTAAGGATCGCAGAGAGTAATAAAATACGTAGTATGTAAAATAGCTAAAATGGTCATCTACAATAACTTCATCCGATACAGCCAGAAAAGTAACTCTAACCTTACTTTTTCTTATTATTACACAACTCAGCGCGCGAAAACAAAAGTTACGCGTTTGGTGAAAAAGTTGGCTGATAAGCCTGTTATGCCGAAAAACAGTGTTACCAAACGGCCTCTTAACTTTTCTATTATCCTAAAATTTTCCTCTCATTTTCTCTTTAGGAATAGTTTTTGTGATTGACAGTGCCCCCTTTTTCTTTTTTCTTTTACATTTTCTATAAAAAAAATGAGATGTTGTTTAAGCAATATTTTGATAAGGTAAAACTAATTAAAAGGGAAATTGTATATCGATCGTGTCTCGTACAAGAACTCTAAGAAAGATGACAAGAACAATAAAGAATAAGAAAGTGTCAAGTGAGCAAAATATAATGTAATTTGGTGTGTAATTCGAATGAGGAACATTCCCTTACAATAGAGCTCGATCCTACTTATAAAAAAGGTAATTAATCTCCTTTTGTTCGTTATTGACGGTTTTCACCGTTATGACGACACTCAAAGTCGTCATAAACTCATCATTAACATCGGTCAACCCATTTGAGTAACTCCCGCCTTAATTACATTAATAGTTGCAATAATACATGCAATACCATTATCATAACTAGCTAGCATTAAGCCTAATAAATGTGTCATTAATTGCCGTGATCAAGTCTCTTAAATGTAGAATATGTTGTCAAAGTCTTGCTCTAACAATTGACCCATTTTCGAGAAGTTGAGGTGAATGATGCACATGCCGACCTATTCAGCAACAACTTGTCGAAAATTTGAAAGAGCTTACACTTCGCATCTTGATTCATTGCGCCTATCGACTTGTCAATGACTTGTCACAACGTATTGATCAACTCGTCTGACGAAATGCTTCCGTCCTTCTTTCACGTAACTCCCGATCGAATCCGTCTCCTTGACTGACACTGAAGAATGAAAGCTGTCATCTTATCTTCCTTCCTTCAAGACTATGTTGATGACTAGATGACAATGAATTGGAACTTCGTCCATAGCGATGCTGACACTTCGGTTTGCAAAGGGAACTTCATCTGTTGCTAGAGATGACGAGTTGGGTTGCATGAACGTAATCAAAATTCTGCAAAAACTTTGAATCCTGTTTCATTTTTGGTTTTAGCAATATTGTCGACATGAATATTTATGATTTATGTCAATGTCGTTTGTATTGTCTCCTTATATTTTGGATTTTTTGTTGTAGTGCTCTTGGAGCACATGCTTCTGTTGTGTATTTCTGTAGTTTTGGCCAAACCATTGTGGAGTATCGGTGATTTATGTACTCATGTTTAGCGTACATGAAAACCTCACTTCTTCCCCTAAAATTCTGTAAGCCCTCGTCAATTGTGTTTTGACGTTTTTTGTAAGGCTTTGCATGATGTATGTCAGGATTTTGTCATCATCAATTGTTGATTGTACCTGCGTAAAACGGATTTGCCAAGGCTGGCCGTTGGCTATGAGTTAATGATCCTCCGATGCTTAAGTTAGTAAATAATCATTTGATAAATTTAAATATAGTGATGTGATTAAAAATGAAAGAGTTTTAGGCGTACCACATTCGAACTTCTAGGAACTTGTTTACCGTCTATCGATTCCCGTCGATATGCCCCTTGTCTGATGGTTTCGATTATTTTGTATGGTCCTTCCCAATTTGGACTAAATTTGGCACTTGCTTCTTTTCCAAATGCACGTCTAAGAATCCATACGCCTTTCTAGAATACTTTTTCTCGGACGTTCTTGTTGTAACTTTTGGCCACCGCATGTTGATATGCTTGCATTCTAATCTTTGCCCATTCTCTCAATTCGTCAATAATGTCTAAGTCGTGGATCAGCTCCACATTGTTTCTTTCCTCAGTGACGAGTCCATATCTTGACTTTGGGACCTCAACTTCAACTGGAATGACCGCCTCACAACCAAAGACCAAGGAAAAAGGGATTTGTCCAGTAGCATTTTTAGTTGTTGTCCTGTCTGCCCATAAGATTAATGGCAACTCTCAAGCCCATTTTCCTCTTACTCTTTCCAATCTTTTCTTTAGGTTGGACACAATGATCTTGTTGCTAGACTCGGCGTGTCCATTTGACTGTGGGTATCTTGGAGTTGATGTTTCCAGTTTGATGTTATAGTTATCACAAAGTTGTCTCGTTTTGGAGCTGATGAATTGTGATCCGTTGTCACAAGCGATTTATAACAAGATGCCAAATCTGCAAAGGATATTTCTCTTGATGAATGATATCACCTGATCATCTTGTATCTGATAGAATGGCTCCGCCTCGACCCACTTAGAGAAGTAGTCCATCATTGTAAGCATGTACACCTTCTAGCCAGGTGCTACTGGTAATTTTTCGACAATGTCCATCTCCCACTTCATGAAGGGCCAAGGTGAAAAGACAGGATGTAATGATTCCGATGGTTGATGACGAATCGATCCATGCTTTTGACAAGGTTGACAGTTTTGGGTGAAGATGATGGCATTCTGCCTCATCGTCGACCAGTACTATCCAAACCTCAAGGCTTTGTTGGATAGGCTTCTTCCTGCAACACAATTTCTGCACTCTCTTTTGTGAAGGTTCTTTAGTACCTTGACGGCTTCTTAGGGCGCCAAGAATCTTTGGTATGGACCTGCTTTGGAACACTTAAACAACACACCGTCAATGATTAAGAATTGAGTTACCTTGGGTAGGAGTGCTTTTGCCTCTCTCTTGTCCAATGGAAGTGTGTTGTGTTTCAAGTAGTCCATGTATGGTTGCATCCAGGTGCCGTCGGTTTTAGTATCGATGAAGTCGACTGATTTAATCTTGTCATTAGCTGGACTAGTCATGTGAATGAATGGGATGTTGTCATTGTTCTCTGATCCCAAACATGACCCGGTTGCTACTAAGGCATCCGCTTGTCTGTTTCTTTCCCTTATAATTTACTCGAAAGTGATCTCGTCAAATGAACTCGTCAACTCCGTGACGACTTGCAGATAAGTCGTCATCATTGGGTCTTTCGTTGCATAAATTTCGTTAGTTTGATTAATAATTAAGAGGGAGTCACATTTTACCTCAAGTAGTTTTATGCCCAAGTCCTTTGCTAGGGTCAATCCAATGATCAGTGCTTCGTATTCTGCTTTGTTGTTTGTAGCTTTGAAGTCACAATTAACTGCCTGGAGTATGGTGCCCCCTTGTGGCGACTTCAGCACTACTCCAAGTCCTGCTTCATTCATGTTTGAGGCCCCATCAATGTGTAAAGTCCACTTATGTCGAGCTAACCCGTCCACCAGGAGACATGTCTCTTTTTCGGCTTCCGTCTGGAGTTTGGGGCTGAAGTCTGGCACAAAGTCTGCTAAGGATTGTGACTTCAATGTGGTCCTTGCCTCATATCTGATATCATATGCCCCTAGTTGAATCGACCATTTAGCCACCCGTCCTGACATTTCAGGTTTCCTCATGATTGGCTACATGGGATAGTTAGTCCGCACACAAATGTGTGTGATTCAAAATAAGGGCGTAATTTAACAAAGGCTGTGACTAAAGCTAGGACTACTTTTTCAAGTAAGGCGTACCTTGATTTCGGGCCATATGAGGACTTACTTACGTAGTATACTGGAGTTCGTTGTCCGTCTTCTTCTTTGGTCAGGACGACACTGACTGCATGTTCTGATACCGCTAGGTAGAGTTGTAGTTCTTCATCATCCTTGGTCTTTATCAGCAACAATGATGTCGTCATGTATTCCTTTAATTGTTGCAATGCTCTCTTGTGCTGCTCCGTCCATTCAAACCTTTTGTTCTTTCTAAGAACATCATATAATAGTTGACATCTGTCTGATGATTTGGATATGAATCGGTTTAGCGCCGCAACCCGCCATGTCAACCTTTATATATCTTTGATAGATTTGGGTGATTCAATGTCAAGAATGGCTTGGACCTGTTCTGGACTTGCTTCGATCCCTCTTTCGCTGACGATATAGCCCAAGAATTCACCGGATGATACACCAAATGTACACTTTGTTGGGTTAAGCTTCAAGTTGAATTCTCTCAGCTTTTTGAACGAACAACTCCATCAGAGGACTAATATGATCCACCGCTCCCTTTGACTTGACCAACATGTTGTCGATGTAGACTTCCATTGTTTTTCCCAGCTGTCTTTGAACATCATGGTGACTAGCCTTTGAAACGTCGCACCTGCATTTTTTAAACCAGAAGTCATAACAATGTAGCAATAAGTACTTGATTCGGTAATAAAATCTGTCTTTTCTTGGTCGTTTGGAAGTAGTTGAATGTGATGGAAGCCACCGAAGGCATCCATGAATGACGACATTTCATATCCCGCTGTCGCATCTGCTAACACATCGATGTGAGGCATTGGGAAAGAGTCTTCAGGGCATGCTTTGTTCAGATCTGTGAAGTCGACACATAGTCGCCATTTTGCCTTCCTGCCTTCTTTCCTTTCTTTTTGTGTACTATGACGACATTAGCCAGCCAGCCAGGGTACTTAACTTCTCGAGTCCTTCCGACCCGCAGCAGTATCTCAATCTCCTGATTAACGATGTCATTCCTTTCTCTGGAAAAGCGTCTTCTTTTCTGTGTGACAGATTTACATGACGAGTTCATGCTTTATCTGTGTGTAATGATCCTTAGGTTAATTCATGTCATGTCGTCATGAATCCAAGTGAAAACATCCATATCCTCTTTGACGAAATCGATAAGCTCGCCTCTAAGGTACATGGGTACGTTCTTCCCAATGCAGATGACTCGTTCTGCATGCTCCGGATCAATGACGATTTCTTCAGTCTCATTGTCAGTTTCCTCTTAGAGAATGGAGTCACCCTTTAATTGTTATGTTGATGCCGTCTGGCATGTGGTCGGCTTCAAGGCAGTATGATAACATGATTTGGCAGTTGTCTTGTCCCCTTGAATGGCCTGTACTCCACAAGGCGTCGGAAACTTGACAACCTGATAGTAAGTTGGCGAAATTGCTCCCATTTGATGTAACCAAGGCGTTCCGAGGATCATGTTGTATGAGGGGCAAGTCATGAACTACGTCGAATTTTACCTGCATGTTAAGGCTATGTGCATAAACACGTAAAGATATATTACCTATCGAATGACTCTTCTCCCCGTTGAATCCAACCAGAGTCGATTCGGACTTTGACACGTCCTTTTCCTTGATCCCCATTTGTTCAAGCAATTTCATGGTGGTAATGTTGGTTGTGCATCTATTGTCAACCAGAAGTCCAAGACCCGCTTAACTTCATGATTTGCTACTCTTAGAGAGATAACCAGAGCGTCATGATGAGTTTCAGAAGGATCGGGGATGTGTGTCTCATCAAAAGTGATTGGTACGTTTCTCCAGTCATCTACTCGCTTAGCAACTTGACAGACCTTTAATGACTTGTCTCGAGAGTACTCCTGGGGTGTCTTTTTGCTGCAGAGTATGTTAGTCCACATAAATCAGAACTACCATTAGTGAAGTTAATTACCTTACAGGGAGCTGAAGGTGGTGGAGGTCGTTGTTCAGTTTGTGTCGACATCTGACCTCATCGCAAGAAGGACTTTGCCTGTTCGACATTATTTTGGTCAAATATCCATTTCTTAGGAGATAAGCAACCTCCTTCCTTAGCGTGACACAATCCTCCGTGTTGTGGCAGAATTCATCATGGAAGTCGCATCGTTTGTTTGGATCTCGTCGTCCAGTGGACTTATCATACTTCCTAAGCCATCAGGCCTTCTTTCCAAATTTTTACAATGAGCTGATGAGTCTAGAAGTGTTGACGTAGAAGTAGTACTCTTGGATGACCGGTGGCAGGTCCGGATCTTCCAACCAAGTCGTTACTACATCGACTGGATGTTCTTCAGCCTTAGCGTAAGGTTTCCTTATCATGTAATCATGATTCTTGAACAATTTAGATTTTTGCTGCCCCCCGTCTTAACAATCATCACGATGATGAGATTGCTGATCCTCTTCCATTCGTATAAAGGCTAGTGTCTTAGCTTGGACGTCTTCAAAGGTGTGGCACGGGTGTTTGGTCAATTCTCGGTATAGTTCTGAGTCTTCGCGCAATCCCCTTCGGAAAGCCTATACCGCTGTTGGGATGTCACATTTCGGAATCAAAACCTTCTCCTTGCTGAAGCGATGCAAATAGTCTCTTAGTGATTCATCTTGTCGCTTGATAATCCGATATATGTCGCTCATTTGTTTTTCAAGGACTCTACTGCTCGTGAACTGCTGGTTGAACAAATTGACGAGTTCTGCAAACGAGCCAACACCTTCATTTGGTAAGTTGACGAACCATGTATGGCTGGTCCTGTCAACATCGCTCCCAAAGCTCTGCACATGTACGCCTCCCGTTGTTCGGGTCTAGCTGAAACTGCCAACATCTGTTGTTTGTATTGGGCGACATGTTCCAATGGGTCTGAGGTTCCGTCAAGCATCTTCATGGAAGGAACAACAAACTTT